CTGCACAAATTACAAACATGTACAAATAAAATAAAATAAAATAAAACAAAATAAAATAAAATAAAACAGGAGACTCAGCCCCCTAGATGCGCATACTCCAGTCACCACCCTGAAGCCATCGCTACTTGATTGAGGTGTATTCTCCTGTGAGCAAGGCAGTCGTGGCTTAGGCAAATCCTGAGAGATGGTCCTGAATGCTGTGTGACCTCTTCACTAAAGCTTTGTGGGGCAGGAAGAAGCCCCAAGCCAAGTCTTCCCTCCCCACCCCACCCCACCCCAACATCCACTCTTCCTCAGTGTTTCTGGGTCACTAGGTGGGGTGTCTGCCAAGCTCCTGGATAACAGGCTGGCCTAGCAATGTGTTCTTTCTGGATGAAGCCTTAGAAAAGGTTTCTTGATGAAAAGGTGGAGCCATGAAATCACAGCACCCTGCATTCCCCACTCACTGTTGCTGAGGACAGCTGCCCTCGGTCCTTAGCCAGTTTCCTAGAGGTCTGTACAAGAGCAGGAAGCAAACCCTGTGTTAAACTGGAGATAGTACGTATTTTTCACTTCAATGGACTCTAGTCTGTTTGAGCTGGGGGAACTGCATCTGTGACCTATAATTGGGGTCAAGGGCTTGGGACCCCCAAGAATAGTATGCTAAATATCATGACCTTGTGATGGTGAGCATTTTGTTGAGGAGCGGATGCAAAGATTTTTGTGTGTTTTCAATGAGTATGATATAAAATTGTTAAGAACAATTAACTTACAGGACAAACTCTAAATGCTATTTAGTGTTTATTCAATTGTACTCTCTTGTGATATCTCCACTTGTCTGTCCTAAGATCTCATTTTCATGCAGAAAAACAAATTTGGGCTTCAAATTCAGATAATGTGAGTTTGAAGTACAGCAAAGAGGGCTTTTAGGTTGTTTGTTTCTTTTTGTATCAAGAACTGAACTCATGGCAGCCGCCATGAACTGTAGTCCAGCCATGCCAGCCTGCCTTGGAGCCAACTGAGTGTGGACTAAAACCTCCAAAAACTGTAAGAAATAAACCTTTCCTCACCCCCTCCCCCCAAAAAGAAAGAACTGAACTCATGACCTCACACTTGCCGGGCAGGCACTGTGCCACTGAGCTATAGCCTCAGGTCAGTAGAGGGTGTTTTTTTTTTGTTTGTTTTTTTTTTTTTTCTTAGTCAGTACCTGGGATCAAACTCACAACTGTGTGCTTGCAAGGCAGGCGCTTATGCCGCTGAGCTAAATCCCCAGAGGGTGTTTTATAAGCTACATAATCTCAAGCAAGTCATTTCACTTCTCTAAGTTTCCATATCTAAGAAATGAGAAAAATGTAAGATTAATGAGCTTATATGTGTTTTTGTACTCCAGTTGCTAAGGAAATATTTAACTTTTATCATAACGGATATTTTTACTTAATTTCTTGTGAATTTGAGGGTTAGAATCTTAAATTTGAGGCACTGACAGGCTAGAATCAGGGCTTACAGTTCATTTTTATTCTGTATATAGCAGTATTGTCCTATAGAAATATGAGCCCACAGAGATAATTTAAAACTTTTTCCAGTGACCACATTTGAAAAGATAAACAGAAGTTAATTAAATCATATATTTTATTTAACCCAATATATCAAACACTGATAACTTCAACACTTCACTAATACAAAAATTAATCAACACCTTAACTTTCTTTGTTTGTACTAAGTCCTTGTAATCTTTTGTGTATTCTGTGCATATACTGTACCTCAAATCAGACTAGATATGTTTCAGATTCCCAACAACTGCAAGTTGCTGCCTTCTACATACTAACCATGCCATATTGAGTAGTTAGAGGGCTAAATCTATCTTGATTGATTGACTGATTGATTTTAGCTTTCCTCTCAATATACCCTGTTTTAGTTTATTGGTTTTTTAAATATTCTTTTTGAATGCTTTATTACATTTGATGTTCTAGTACCTTCACACATTTCATGAAATACTTACTGTGAGTCAAATTTCTTTTTTTCCTTATTTTCTGTTTAAACTAGTTATCCATGCCCAGGTTATAATCTATGTGCTTCATAGAAGTTTTTCAATTCCTCAGCCCAGTGCATCTCTCCCTCCTCCAAATTCATGCCACTTATCACATGTCACACCTCAGATAATTTATCTTCCATGTTATAATTGATTCCAAGCATGTGTCTGCTCATTATTATGCAGTGTCTTATAAATCCATTATACTCTTCAGAAATACACAATGGACCAGGTAGATTAGAGGTAGAAACAAGGATTATTTTTAGTAAGTACCCAATAATGATATAAAGCAATATTCTCTAAATGTTTTCCTGGAACAATAATTCTGCTATTCAGCCTCTCACCTCAAAGATGTCTTCAAGGTTAAATAACTGCTTACTAAGGATATATTAATAAGGGGAGTCAGGTTTTGTTAAAACAGGACTTCTCTGAATCTGTGATTTGTTAATGTGTAAAGGTGTCTCTTAACAGTAGTGCACCACTGTCCTGTGCAACCATTCCATGTCACTGTTGAGAAAGAAACCATTATCCTTGGAACAACTTCCTGTGATGACAGCTTTATAAAAATACATTTTGAACACTTAGAAGTCCCTGAGGGTCAAAACTGAGCAGGGGGATGAAAATACAACTTTTCAAATTCTCCAAGGCGAGGTGGAGAGAGGTGGCGATTGAGAGGTTTGAACAGTAACCTCAGGAAGATTTAAAGAGTCACTCATCTTTTGTAGCTGTTAGTTATTTTATCTCCATATCCTCTATCATGCTATGTAATGTCTCATTGCTAGGCTCATGCTGTTCTCTTAGCTTGAAAAGCCCCTTCTCATTGCTCTCCTCCCACAAAATCTGCCTTACAATATATCGCCCAATTTAAGTGCTCCTTTTTAACATATCTACCAGATCATCCACCCACAGGTGAATTCTGCTTTCCTCTACCCTCTTCTGCTGAATCTTTATGGTGCAAACTCTCACCTATTACAAGACACAATTACTACCATCTCAGTTTTCCCCATAAGAAATTCTAAGTTCTTCTTCTTTCTAGTTCTGATCATGTTGAGTGAATACCTTAATGTTCACTAATTCTTCAAAGACATTCATGGAATGGATAAATAAATGGAATATGAGGATTTATGCTTGATGTCCTCACACAGATAAATTGGAAACTTCTTTACATAGGAAATGAGTACCTTATTTTTCATACAATAGTATAGTTTTAGATTAATAGAAAAGATGCCCAGATAAGACAGAGGGAGTCTGTGCACCATTCCTGGTTTCTCCCATTATTGTCTCATTTACTGTGGTACATCTATAAAAACGAACAGTGCTTATTATTCACCTTTCCTCATTTTCTCTAACATCCTTTTTCTGATCCAGCCTTGCTTTTAGGACTTCACTGTATATTTACTTGTCATCTTTCTTTAAGATGGGATGATTTCTCATTTCTTTCTTATTTTTTTATGACCTTGGAAATTTTATGGAACAGTGGCCAGGACTTTTTTACAGTTGATTGCCAGAATTTTTATATTTTCCTTGATTATTTTGATTTTAAGAAGATAAAGTGCCACTATTGTATGTCCAGGACATAGGCTGTCAGCAGAACTTTTTAGTGTTGCTGTTAACTTTAACATTTGTCCTGTTAAAAACCTGCCACAGTCACCAGTACTGCTTTTTGTCAGTGTCACAGCTTATTAAAGACAAAGACAGTGTGTTATTACCTGTGTCCATAGTATCGCATATTGATTTCTATGTAATGAAGGTATGAGGTTTATTTTTGGTCCTAAAAACTACAATTTCTGTTTTCCATTTAAACATTTTTTTTACAGAAAAATCACACACTTTTCTTGATATGAGCAAGTAACATTCATTATGCCTGATCAGAGTAGTATAGCATAGGGTTCTAGCCCAGGTTCCAGCAATTTCAAGAAAAGCAGTCACATAATCACTTTAATGTCATTCTGAGAAGTACAGGGGACTCTGCCTAGAATCCACTATAGAAGAGGAAATGGTGACATAAAAGTACAGTGACATAATAGCTTGTTCAGCATGGTATGGAGGTGCCATCAGGATGACACACTGAGACCTGCAAGACAGAATAGATAACCTGCTACCTACCCAACAGGATCTTTTGGTAACCTACTATATTTATTTTTTTTAGTAACATCTGTGCCACATAATAATTTCATTCATCTTGAGGAATTGATACATATACATATTATATGTTCATCTGTTTTTTTTTTTGGGGGGGGGAGTGTGGGTGAGACAAGATCTTCCATGTAGTTCAAACTGGCTTTAAACTCACTCACTATGTAGACCAGGCTGGCCTCAGACTTGCAGCAGTCCTCCTGCCTCAGCTTCTTGAGTGCTAAGCTTACAAGTATGCACCAACAAGCCTGGTCATCTTGATCTTTTAAAATCCACTTCCCCAGTCAGGTTCTCTGCCTGCTCCTGATCCCCTTTCCCTATCACGTCCCCTCTCTCCTTCCTACCATCTCTCTTTTAATTTTTGCTCTATAAATTATCTATAGTTCTTAAGTTGGAGAAAGCATACAATATTTAATCTTCTGTGCTGAATTTATTTCACTTGGCATAAAGCACAGAGGCAGTAAAAGCCCAGTGAAGGACAGTCATGCATGACATTTTTAGTAGGCTACAATAAAATCTTTGTAAAGTAAAGAGGAAAGGGAATTAATAGAGAGCAAATATACTTCCAAGGAATATATTAGAACATCTGGAAAGTCAGAGGATTTCCTGCAGAGGAAACCTCTGCAGGGAGTGGGGTGTTCACAGATGTGAAGCAATTAACAAATGAGAATCTAATAATCACTCCTCTAGTTCATAATTTTGGAGAGATAGCAAAATGCAATCTTAACAAGACTGAAAACACTGATTTATCCTATCTAATCTGAAGAATCCTTATTCTTCTTCCTTGATTTTTAAAATTTTACTTCCTTTGGAACCTTAGAGGTCTCACTAACTTTTTCAACCCAATTACTTGTGTTTATTCTGCGGATAAATTCATGATTGTTGAACTGTTCCTGAAAACTTGCCCACTGAGAATAACTTTAATAGCTTTCTTAAACCATGGGTAGAATAGAGCATAGATTAAAGGATTCATGGCTGAGTTATAATAAGCACACCAAACACAGATCTCATAAATGTAGGCGGGAGTGATGAAGCCCATGAAAGCATCAATTAATGAATCAATGCTGTACGGTAACCAGGAGACCATAAAGGCTACCACCGTGATGCCTAAAATTTTAGCTGCTTTTCTCTCTCTCTTGGCCACTCTGGCTTTGTAACTTTCGGAGGATGAGTCCCCTTTGTTACCCACGTTCTCAATCTTTTTAGCTTGCTGTCTAGCCACAAGGAAAATATGACTATACAGAGTCATCATAACTAGGGTAGGTATAAAGAAGGACAGAAAATCAATCAACACCCAGTTCTGATTTACATCTACCTGGCAGCGTCCTACGCAGTCGAGGGCACTGGTTAATTCCTCCAGCCCATCGTCATAGACCCCGGTGTAGAACACGGCACCGCTGTACACCAGCGGCAGAGTCCAGGAGACAGCGATGCAAATGCCTGACACAGACACCGTGAACTTGGTGGGGTAGACCAGGGGGTCGGTAACGGCCATGCACCTGTCCACGGAGATGAAGCACAGGTGGAAGAGAGAGGAGTAGCAAAATGCCACATCACATCATGTGTGGAAAGTGCAGAAACTCGTCCCGAAGTACCAGCAGCTCTCCACGGACCTGAGCATGCTGAAGGGCATCACGGTGACTCCCACCAAGAAGTCAGCGCAGGCCAGAGAGGCGATGAGGAAGTTGGTGGGTGAGTGCAGCTGCTTGAAGTGCAGGATGGAAGCCACGACCAGGAGTTTCCTAAGACGGCCAGCACAGCCCCACAGCCGAACACCGCGTAGAGGAGCGCCCGGGGGCCAGGCGTGTAGGGGGTTTTCACGCAGGACCCGTTCACAGTGGGGAAGCAGAGCTGCGGGGCTACCGGTGGGGACCCGTGGGCGCTCATGGTGCCGTAGTGTGCGGGTGCACAAGTTCTGCCTCTGACACCGAAAGAGCCTAGGCCTGCAGTTTCTCAGTACTCTGAGGGAAAGAAGTCCATCAATCAAGCCCAATGAGCAAGGAATGATCAGACTTTAACAGGAATCAAAGATTTCAAGCTTTCATTTTCATGTAAATTTGAAATGTTTTCTAGAAAAATAAAATCCAACGGGCCTCCTATTTTCTACAAGATTAATGGAAACTGGCTTAAATAATAAGTATTTTAGTTAGTAATCTGATAAAAAAAAAAGTTCCCCTTCGCGCATTAATATGGCTTGGACCCAGCCACCTTCACTGGTTTTGAATCAGTTTTGCAGTGCATGGATCGCTTCCGCAGATTTAAGCCTTTGCTGCCTGCAGGATTCAGCTCATGCAGCTGCCCAGAAGCCAGCCATGGGAATATCCCGGGGTGGAGTCCCTGTAGGGCAAGGTGTGAATTTGTAAGATGGTTTTTTTATTGTGATTGTTAGGATATTTATTAAACAAAAATAATTCTCCATTTTACACTACATTCAATTGCATTTGTGGATTCCAGGTAAAGATTTTTTTCTCTTCCTGTGTAGACTACAATCCCTCCCATGTACCCTAAGGTATATGACTTGACAACCTTACTGGATTCTTATTAGAGAAATGCAATAGGGTGCAAGCTTTCAAGGATAACTCAGCTGCTCCTCTCCTGTTAAGAAACAGATCTGCATCTGCAGTAGCTACCACAAGAAGGAGAGGTCCAATGCAGGGCTAGGGGACTGGAGATTGGGGAAATATATTATACAAAACCATTAAGAGACTACATGGTGTTTTTTTTTAAAATTTTATTATGATGTTTGAGTACATAATGTTTACATTTTCTTTGGAAAATTGTTACAGTACATAATACACCTTCATTTCTTATTTTAAATCCCCTTTTCTTTCCCTTCTTCTCTGTTTGTCCCTGGTGTTCTCTCTCTCTCTCTCTCTTTGTATTCTGTGTTTGTAATATCTGATGTTTACCTTCCTTGTATTGAGTTGTCACTTGTACATAACGTGTCTCCATTTCTTTCTTCACCTTCTTACCTTCCTCTTCCTTGCTGCTCTCTGAATCTCCTGGTTCCCTTACCTTTTGAGGAATAGCTGCTGAGATGCAGTAACCCTGATGAGTTGCGGGTAGGGAGGTCATAGGTTCTTTTCTCAGGAAATTGTCACTTTGAGCACCCCTGAAACCTGTCTCTTTCCTGTGACAAACGAACAATGAACTCTGATTACACAACTGTTTGTGTTTCTTAGTGATTGGACTTGCTGCTTCAAATGTGAAAGAACTATTTAGATAATGAGCAGAAACTGGGAAGATTAAAAGGACTTGTTGGAAGTACTCACAGCCCTGGAATAGTGGAGCACTGCAGAGCAGGAAAAAGCATCTCCAGCCTTCCTGAAAATGAATGCGAGGCTCTGAGTGTGCAAGGCCTCAGTTTAGAGAGACTCATGAACTTTCTTTGGCCACTGTAAATACTGTGAGGCCCAATCACTAATTAATAAAATTAACACTTTTACCCAAATGCTTTTCCTATCCCTCCTAGTATTTTCTGAGCACCTGATTCTGTGAAGTGATAGCAGTTGCTTACATAGGCAAAACCCTATGCCAGCTTCTCTTGACTTGAGTGCTATGGACATCTGAGTCTGATAGCCCTTGGGAACAGGTAGCACTGACAAGCATCCCTGTTACCATTTACAGATGTCAATCAAATGCCCCCTTCTGCCAGTCATAAATGGTGACAGATATTAACAAATGAGCTCAGAGTGAAAAATTAATCTTCATTGGATCCGTGGTTATACATATTTAATGTAAAAAAAAGACAGAGATAACGATCACCTTGGGTAGAGAAATAATTTTATACCTCCCTCCCATCACTCTGAGATTTGGTCACTAGTTTATTTCTCTATTCTAAACATGCTTAGCGCACACCTCTGATGGGTACTAAGTAATGAGAGAAACATGATCTTCATTTTCTTGAAGGTTGATATCTTAAGATGGAAATATGAGTATTAGTGCAGAGTTTCAACTGGACTGGATTTTAGATCTGTCCCTGGGTTTGGTAGAGCACTTCTGGGTATGCCTGGCCATGGAGGCATGGTCTTGGACTATGTCTGGCCCTCTCACCCCTTTTGCAGGGGCACTGTTCCCCTGCTCTGCTTCCCAGGTGCCATTAAGTAAGAGCTTTGCCTGCCATGTCCTGTGCCATGATGCTTCTGCAAGGAGCCAGTTGACCATGGGCTGAAATCACAAGCAAATTAAACCTCTTCTCATTTAAGGTGTTTAAATTGGGTGTTATATCTTACTTATGGGAAAACTGACTGATACAAAAAATGGTAGCAAAAAGTGGGGTCATGGCTGTGACCATACCTGACTAAGTGATCAAGAGCCCATTGGAACTGGATGCAGGGTGGAATTTAGAAAGGTTGGAAGATGTTGAGTAGGAAAGCCTTAGAATACTACAAGCAGAGCCTGATAGGTGGTTCTGGTCAGAGCTCAGAAGACCAGAAGGTTGATAGCAACCCACACATTAAAGACCAAGCAGAGGAGGATTCAATGGGAACAAGGACTCCACTGAGAGCCAGACTACAGGTCATGTGTGTTTTGTGCCAACAGAAATTTTGTATGTATTTTCCCATGTCTTAAAAATTTGCAGGCAACTGAGGTTAAAAGCATTAGACTAAATAATCTGGCAGAAGACTTACAGGTCAGCCTGATCCTTAGGCTGTGTCATGGGTGCTGCTTGCTGATTTTATATCGATTTATAGTGAGAATAAGAGACAGAAGACGGCATTAAAAAATGTAAAACTTATTTTGGCTTCACTTAGGTAAGCTTGCGGCCAGAGAAAGCATGAGTAATATAGAGATCAGTGTCATTAATAGACACCACACATTTGTACAGGGTCAAGAAAAAGATGCTTTGAGATCATCTTAGAAATCATGAAGACCCCACCCATTGCTGGCACGAGGGTACAGAATTGTCAGCATTTTGTGAGGGTGGGTGGAAGAACCACTTGGACCCCTGTTGGAGAAGGCTCTCTAGAATATCAGTTTCAGAGATTCATTTCATTGGACTCACTACTGTTTCTGTTGACAACACACCTTGGTATCTTTTACAATGATTGTTTAATTGGCACGCAGAATGGAAGAGTTGTAGCATCAGTGTGACTTCCACTTGGACATTAAAGGAGGGCCAGGCAAGGGGTCCTGGAGAGGGCAGTGCATCAAGGTGTGGGGACAAAGCCAAAGGTACAGTGGAGATTTCAGGAAATTTGAGATCCCACAAATGTGGATTAGCTGAGGAAAGCTGCTGGCCTTGCAAAGGACTTGTGTAAGAGAGGTCATGTGGGCTTTAACTGACAAGGCCACAAGGTTGGGGTCTCCCAGACTCTTTGGGACTCACATTTTCCCACCATTTGCCCCAAATATGAGATATGAAGCTACAGGAACTAATGTTTTCTTCCTGCTTGGTTTCCCTCTTCCTTTGGTCCAATCCTTTTCTATTCCTTCTTGCTTCCTTTCAGAATGGAAATATTGGCACTCTGCCATTGCACTTTGGGATTACAAAACTTGTTCTTTTATTTTTACAGAGTTTCTCAGATAAGAATATTCTTGAAATGCTGGAACTGCTGCATCTTCGAGGAGGGGAAGTTGGTTTTCTGTTTATTCATGAGATAGTTGTATTGTTCAGAAAAATTATCAACTTGCTATTGTCTTTATTTGGAGGTTAATAACAGTGTCATGGGTGTGTTTCAGTATCAAGTTGATAAAGGTTTGAATGTTGTAGTTAATTTGATCTGCTGTAGAGTCTATCTCAGAGCTTGGTGGGGCACATATGTAAGTTCGGTCTGGGTGAGTCCTGGCTTTGGGATTTACATCTGGTCCCTCCCCCTTTCTGCTCTGGCCCTCTTCACTGGCTATTTCTCAGTCACCATGAACTGAGCAACTTTGCCAGTCCATAGTGACTTTCTTCCCTGACGTTGCTGCCTTTGACCCAGGCATCAGAGAGTGAAACTATGAGAAAATTAAACTGCTCGTCTTTTAAGTCACGGATGTTGAGTACTGTGTTTCAGTTACGAGAAAGCTGACAGATACAACAAACAAACCTGAAACAAGCAAGTCGAGAAATGGATGCAAAAACTCAAATGCTTGGTCAGCTCTGGAAATGCAAAATATAGTGTGTGTGATAGCTTAGTAAGCATAGTGATGGAGACTCCAGACAAAAAAGCTTCCAGACAGGATTAAACAAAAATGCTGCTTTGATATCTGTAAAATTTTAAGTGCTTTATTGTTTCACTCTACCCTGTAAGTTTAATGGAGCAATCTAAGTTAATTTCTATATTTAAATGTTTGTACTTCATCAGTAGAGAGTACCTTGCCCAGTGCTGAGTTGAATACAATTAGAGATTCCTACCAAGGCTCAAAACCTCTTGGTTTAAACCTCTTCCAACATTGTCCATGTGGCCATACTCATTAACTGATTTTGCAACACATCACCACAGATATTAGGCAGAGGTTATGTTGCCCAGAGGTTGACAATGCTATCATCCAGAGGAGGTTCACTGGTAAACTTCTGGTTCTTGCATCAGAGAAAGTTTTGCTTTATTTCTACGCTTGAGCTTTAATTTGAAAGTTGATGTAACTCCCAAAGATATTTCTAAAGTAAAAGCCCACTAACTAGACCATCTCCCCAGTGACTGAGAGTGTGAACCACTTCCCATTATGACCAAGAGAAGAAAGATGCCATAATGACACCCATGCAGTTAATGAGAAGTAGGGGAGAGAAGGGTTTCTTTCTCTTATCTCTAAGGACTGGAAACTAAGTGGTAACTCAAAAAGTAGGGCCGAAGTGTTAAAACTGTAAATGATAGGCAGTGGGCATTGATTATACATGATCCATTTTTCTGTGCAATAGTCTTAGCAGCTCAACAATTAATGTCTCTTGTATCAACTTGATTCTC